ACGGATCACTAAGCAGGCACGGCCACTCAGGTGTCAATGCATTCCGAGAAAGCCACAGCAGAGAGGCAGAGACAGGAAACAGAATATCCACGAACGCACATAATCCTCCCTTAACCCTGCACGATGGGCCAGCACAATGTCATGCTTCTCTTCCTTTCTTTCACACAACTGTAAGAATAAAGGACAATGCAGGCCGGGCGCCGGTGGCTCACGCCTGTCCATCCTCAGCACTCCCGGGAAGGCCGAGGCGGGCGGATCGCTCGAGGCTCACGAGTTCGAGACGACAAGCCATAGCAAGGGCGAGACCCGTCTCTTACTAGAAAACAGAAAGAAAATTAATTGCAACGAAAATATATACGAAAAAATTAGCCGTGCAATCCGGTGGTCGCATGCCTGAAAAGTCCACGCACTCGAGAAGGCTGAGCAGGAGGATCCGCTTGAGCCCAGGATTTGAGTTGCTTGTTGAGCTGGAGGCTGAACGCCACGCAGCACATCTAGCCCGGGCCAACAGTGAAACATCAGTTGTGACGACCCTTGTGTCGCTGGTTTTCCCTGCTGTTGTGTGGGTGATCGAAAGCACCCGGCTTGTCTCATGAGGTGGAATGTTGGGGTAGCACTCCCTTCCTGGCTTGTGTGGACAAGCGATACCCATTTCCTGCACCCAGTCCCAGTGAATATTAGGTGAAGTGGTTGGGAGATGCTTGACTTCTCTTTCTTTCTTTCTTGATCTTTTTCTTTCTTGTTTCTTTCTTTCTTCTTCTCTTCTTTTCTCTTTCTTTCTTTCTTCTTCTTTCTTTCTTTCTTTCTTTCTTTCTTTCTTCTTTCTTTCTTTTCCTTTCTCTCTCTCCTCCTCATTTCTTTCCTCTCTCTTTCTTTCCTTCTTTTTTTTTTGGCAGATGTCTTGCGCTGTCGCCCCAGCTAGAATGCAGTGGCCACTCATCGTAGCTCAACAGCCAACCTAAAAACGCGTCTGGGCTCCAAGCCGAAAATCCTCCTGCCCTCAAGCCTCCCGAGGTAAACCTGGGACGCACAGGCATCGCACCACCACGCCCAGGCTATTTTTTTCTTATTTTTGGCTAGAGACGGGGCTCTCACTCTTGCTCAGGCTGGTTCTCAAACTCCTCCCTCACCCTCAAGAGATGCTCCCACCCTGGCCTCCCAGAGTGCCTGGGAATTTACAGGCGGAGCCAAAGCCCACCGCACCTGCTACCAGGGACACTTTCTTTTCCTCACCACTAACAATGCACTCCATCTGTAGTTGGTTCTACTCTTGTGATTCTGTGGCAAACCTAATCCTAAATCACATTACCTGTAGGGAGCCTAAATAGGACACATTTTCATTTGTATATCCCATATATATTACTCATATAAATCATATATCATGTCTTGTTACCTACATATATATACTACATGTACATTCTGGGCTGAGGATTCATATGAATGGACTTATAAAAAAATAACACTGCAATATATACATAATTGCATAATACTTTTTCCTTTATAAAAGTATACACTATAGTACTTGCCTTTATAAAAAATTGGTAGGTTTTTTTTTTTTTTTGCCAC